TATACCTTTCTAATGTATAGTAATGTATAGAATCAGATCTGATTCTGAAGGAAGTGATCTTTTTCCTTATTCAACCTCTTTTCCTTGAGTATAATAGAAATGTCATAGAGATCAATGAAAGGTTGTAGTTTATATCTTACTTTAACAATACATGTTCTTCCCCTGTTAATGTATTCAAGTCACATAAACTAGAAGAGCCAGTGAAATCTATCCCATTGTTACAAATGTTGGAATATTAAAGAAGGAAGAAAGAGGTCCATATTCACTGTAGTGGCACAAAACCTCCGTTTGACATTTAACACTGCTGGATTTACTAAAGAGACTCAGTGTCCAAAACTAAATAGATTTTGCATTTCAAATATTTCAAACTCCGCCACTCTGTGCTCCTCCGCCACTGCCTTGTTTGAGTTTTGGACAAAATGGATTCTGGGATATTGAATTTCGTCATTTCAAGCTGATTGGAAAACAAAACAGCCAATCAGATTTTTTTTTGCATCCAAGTCCGTGATTGGCTGGTTTTGTAGCACAAATACAACAGTGTACAGAAAGAGTTGAGCGTGCACGGGCAAAAATGTTGAGAGCGCGAGTAACACAATGTGAGCAAGAGCAAATGCAAAAACTGAGTGACAGGGGCTGCTGTTGTGTGTGTGTATGGACAATAGCAAACACTGAAATACAGTTTTTGCACGCAGAAATGACTTTTATTCACTCAAATTTATCTTTTCTTCGCTCAAAATAAATTTCTCCTCAAAATGCAACACTTGCACCTGCAATTTTTTTTTACATGCACTCAGAATAGTAGCACAAAAATAACGCCAAAAACCAAAGTGGCTGTACTGTCTGACTGACTCCAAAGTCACAGGTGACTGATGACCCCTGCTGAAGCTTTAGCTTCTGACTGCTCTGTTAGTGTAACTCTGTTTCTCTTTATGAATCGTTTTGTCTCTTATACAGAAAAAGGAGTGATCCTGGAGATCCCTGCACTTCCTGTTATCACAGGAAGTGATGTCACTCTGCGTTGCAGACAAAGCAATGGTGACATGGTGGCAGCTTACTTCTTCTTCAGTGGACGTCTTCTTGGATCTGGATATAAAGAGCACACCATCTCCAATGTGCAGCAGTCTAATGAGGGTCTGTACTGGTGTGCTACTGATCTGGCTGGACCATCTCCTAAAAGCTTCCTGAAGATCAGAGGTCAGTACACTGACATCATTTCATGTCATTGTGGTTACATAGTACAAAAGTCACCTGTTTAACATTTTCCTAAACACTTTCCTTGACCTTGATGGAAAGCATCATGAGGTGGAGGAAAGGTGTTGTCACGAAGAACTGAGGAAGAGTAGAATCATATATTTAAGACAATTCCCTATCAACAACCATTAGTGAGGAATGAAATCATTAGCAGTGTTTCTGAGCGTGCGGTGCCAAGTTTGGACCAAGTCATTTTACTTTGAGTGACAATACGATTTAATGAACTGAAATCACTCCCTCACCTCTCCTCCTACAGATCCTCCTACAACTGCTTTCAGATCTTCTGTGGCTCCTCATCTTGAAACCATGCGCTCCAGCTCCTCTCTTCCCTCTTCTTCTCATCCAACCAGCTCTTCCTCACCTGCTCCT